GATATTGACTTATTTCATTTTAGGCTTAGATTTATTGACTTAAATTTATTTACATTAATCTGATGTCACTATTCTTTCCTAATTTATGTAACAATCCACTACAATTTATAAAACTGAGTTGCTGTATGTTAGTGTACCCATAAGATGTGTCGTGGTAGAAATACGTTTTTTGACTCTCTTTATCATGTTTCTCAGTATTTTCTGAAGAACTTGACTCACATGTGTGAATCATCAGCTTTGCAGAATCAGATGTAATATAGCGCATCCTCCTCCTCTGACAGTTGGGAAACTTTGCATTAAAAACATTTGTCAGCACTGTCATGTTGCATATCGCCCGATTTTCAGGTAAAATTCCAGAAAAAAGGCGGCTGTGTCATATTCAAAGGGATTTTTTGTTAAACGCTATGTGACAGATATTAATGAGCCTTGAGTGGCTGAGTGGACATCTGATAGCACTCTTCACTGTTTACACTCTGTACCTGTACTCACATCAACCCTTCACTGAGGCGTTTCATCCTTCTGCTCCTTTCATTCTCTTTGCCTGCAAGATATTTGTACTCACTTTCGTTGTTCAGTTCTCCCGAGCACACAAATGTGCGTTGTCTCATAAAGAAAAAATCAGAGAATCTTCCCAGATGCCACCCACACTCTAAAGCAGTTCATACACATCAGTTTTGCTATGATTTATTCACAAATTGCCTCAGTTTTATTGTGCAATGCTGGCCTGTCTGTGAATGTTTCCGGGTAGATTTGTGAGTTTGATCACAGCACAAATGAACTGAATACTCATTGGCAAAACAACCTGCAGCTTCCCAAGAATGAAAGAACTAGCTGGCTATAGTGATCTTTATTCCTGGCTGTGATTATATATTGAAAAAAATCCTGATGGATTAATGGCATTGAATATTTGTCAGAAGGTGATGGTCCACTGCCAAAGGAACTTGGACCCAGTCCGAGTAATGATACACTGTGTTGTCTTCAACGTTCCTTTCAGTCAATATGATATGTTGTTTTATTCCATCATCGCTGCTGTCATTTAGCATGCATTTGAAAGAAGACATCTCCGAGAAGTCATTTATCAGCGCGTGATAAGCTTTACTTTGGCACACAGTACAAAAAGATACAATATAGATGAACACAGAGCTGTCTCATGTGCTGAATAGTTATACTGATTTAACATGCACTTCTTCAAACATAGAGAAAAACAACCCCAAAAGAATTTTGTTTCTCCTGGTTGCCACTTTCATTTTTTAGGGATTTTGAAACATCACAAAATTCCATGTTTTCTAAATGTGATGGTGACACAAACACAAAGGTCAGCAGTCTTTCTTTCTTACTTACTTTCTTTCTTTACTGGCAACATGAATGTGTGAAGTACACGTTAAAATTAAAGGGCTTTGGAGATAAGCCCATGTTAAAAATTTAGCTTTAACCTGATTGTTTTAGGTAAGGTAACATCACGGGGTCAACAAGATCAAATGGTTTCTTAATCTCTGGGACTTAAATGCACACAGCAAACTTCATCATGACCGAGCCTTTACTTTTCATATGCCAGCAACAAATCAGCAAAGAAAGAAAGAAATGACTATAAAAACACAATAACAGCAAAAACAGTAATACATTCCATATCAAAGAGCCAGCTTAATTACTTTTGTATTGATACACATTTTCTTTTGACACAGGATATTACAGGACAGACATTATGATTTTGAAGGGTGGAAAGTTATTTGTCATAAGGACAGTTTGATTTAACAGCAATTTGGTAGAAACTTGTTGACAAATATATGAATAAGTTTTGGTTGAAATCTTTAATTGCATCCACTATGCAGTGCAAACTGGATGGACAGATGCACCGTTTTCCTAGAAGATAAAGTATCCATTTAATGTTATATGTAACTGAACACGTATTACTTTAGAATTAAGTTAGAATTAGTTATATTTAATTATCAGCAACATGCAGTATGTATGCAATTGTGTAGAAGTTGAATATTTATGTAACCTGATATTGTGCCACAGCTGATATACAATAAACACTGAGTTTATTCACAGCCAAATGGAACATTTTTGGAGTTGTCTCATGGATATGTTGCGAGTCCATTTTCCCAGCTAGCATTTAAATTTTATTGTAATTTATTCAGCGGTCAGCTGTATTTCACACACAGTATCCCGAAGCTGTGCTTTTCAAACAATACCTCTCAGTAGATAAGATCAAGTATATTATCACCAAACAAACAAGCTG